AGGTGTAGCAGCCAGAGGTCGACAAGAGAAGCAGAGCCAATACCAGGTATTAAGAGATACTAAGGGGCCTCGGGCCGGGTAGCTCAGTTGGTTAGAACGTCATCTGCCATGGTTGCGGATTCAACCCCCAGTCAGGGTGCACACAAGAATCCATGGATGAGTGCATAAGTGAGTAGAACAAGCCAATCTCTCTGCCTCCCTCTCCCCCGCCCCCTCCCGCTCATGGCCTGGCTTTATGAGATCACGAGCCTGTGGTGTCAGGCGCAGGGTGCGGGGTGCGGAAAGGCAGACCAGGGCCAGGATGGAGGGCCACTGGCACTGGCTGTGTGTGGTCCCCAAGCCCTGGGGAAACCCCCCCACCTCCAAAGGGCTCACCGAGCCTCCCTCTCCCAGGATAACCTCCCATTTGATTTGCTCAAAGGCCACTGATTGGGAACCTTAATTACATCTGCGCGATTTCTTCTCCTTTGCCATATGACGTAACCTAATCACAGGCCCGGCCCACACTCAGAGGGAGGATTGTGTAGGGTGCTGGGGGGTTTCTCTGAAGCTCTTTGACACGTTTCACTGCTACAAAGACCCTCCCAGCACAAGAAACCTTCAAATTCCTTCTCTCCGCAGGCCCATCCATCAGTTTCCTAGAAGACTTCTGAACGCCAGAGATAGAGCTGTATTTATATATTTAGCAACTCCTCCATGGATGGGAAGTAATTTCTCTGACCGTGTGGCATATTTCACAGTGACCAACTGTTCTGTGCTTCAGTGTGGCATCCAATGAAAAATAAAACTTTTTCATTGACCTTCACCTTTTCTAACTTGAACCATTGTTAGTCTTAAGGAGAACTGGCTATTAGAAAAACAAAGATTCCAACATCTAAGGAGAAAGGCCTTTTTTATTTCCATCCTATCAGCAACTTGACAGAATAATTTGAGTAGATTTAAGGATGATTTCAATTAATGCTAGAAGAATCTCTTTGAACTCTCCGGTTCACAGAATAAGAACATAATCCTACAAGACTAGTTTAAATTTATTAGTGAATCTAGGTTGGTATACCCAATAGCTTTTATGTCTCTTAATAAGGACAGTTCAGAAGTGGTTTTGGCTTATAATGCACCAGTTTCGGTATGTCTAATGACAAAATATCACTTAATATATTTCAGACTGATCTTTTTTACTTTTGGCACCATTTTGATATTCACTTGAAGATTATATTTCCCAATCATTCATGAGTAGAATTATTTGAGTGCTTGGGTAGTTTATAAACATTTTTTTTTAATGGAAAATTAGAAGGGGTATGTGATTTCTTTCCAAACATTCATTTAACACATCTTTATTGAGAATTAGTATTTTCAGGTACTGTTTAAGCCCACTGGGCTGAAGACAACCAAATGTATGATTCCTAGTCAGGTAGGAAACAGGCATTTGAAAAACAATTTCAATAAAGTGCCAGCATTTCTCTGGTGGTTGAAATACAACCTGCTGTGAGTATACATGAAGCAAAAGAGAAAATAGATACCTAAATACGATTCTTAACAATGAAAGTTGAAGTCTTTTTAACAACTGTAGACTGTCAAAAAAATGTACTTTCTCTTTGAGGATTTTTGTGGCTCTCATGATTATTATTACAGGGTGGACAGTTAGAGCATTAATGTTAAACATTATGCATGTCAGCGAACCCTCAGTAACACAGAGGATCCCCACATATCCTTGATTAAGTGCAGGAGGTACAGGAATTACATTTTACACAGTTTCTTGTGGGAAGTTTCTATTTAATGGCAAAATGAGATTGGAAAACTTCTCTTTATTTACTTTCAACTTGATCGACCCAGTCTATAATTGCAATCTGATATTCAACTGATTTAATTAATTTTATGTTTCAATTGATGTTTTCACTTTTTCATTACATGTCACTTTTTATATTTGTCAACTGAGATTCCTCATATGTTTATTCATTATGCGTATTTTTCTTTATGTCCCTGTACGTACTTTATATTTATAATAGTTGTTTTAAAGCCTTAGCCTACTGCTTGTGAGGGCCTTCTTTGTGTCAGTTTCTATTGCTTATTTTTTTCTTTGGCACAGGCCACTTTGTTTAAAGGTTAGTGTAGATCGGTCTTGTTTCTTCACTGCCTCTTGTTTGGACGGTGCACTGCACGCTGGGAGCACTGTGCTGTGGAGGCTGCCTGTGGTGAGGCTGCTTTCTGGCTGGCGACTTGGGTGGGCAGCAGGCAGCCCTGCCAGGGAAGCCCCGCGCCCTCCCCCTGCGGTGGCCGTTGCTTACGCCTCTGCGCAGCGCTCTCCCCTTCTGTCTTTGTGCTGGCCCTCCCTTGAGGACGTGCGGGTCAGTGGTCCACAAGAATTGGGGGACCTTTGTAAGCAGGTTCTGTGGCTCCTTCTGTGACTTAGCTTATCTGACGTTCAGGCTGCCTGGGACCGTGTGTCCTCTGATTCTCTTGTTCAGTGAGGCACAGCTTTCCTCTGCCTGGGCTGTGGCCGTTGGCCAGGTGGCCTGAGGCCAAAGGCAGTGTTTCATGAATCCTGGGTGCTGTTGGTCGTTAGGGAGAGGACCACTCTCCAGTGTGTCCCTCTCAAGGGCTTTCAGATAGATTTGAAGAGTTTCTTTCTTTTTTTTTTTAATTTGTAATTATCTATGGGGATTAATCCAGCTAAACTATTACATCATTTCCCGAAGCCAGGATTCTCGAAAGAAAATTAAAAAGGCGATTCCGAAATTGTCGGCCCCTAGTTTAGATATAGTATAGCTGATGCAGAGTTTGCGTCAGGACGTGGCTTGTCCATTTGGGACACTTAGTTTTAGTGACTCCGACGCAGCTTCTGTTCGGTGTCTCGCCAAGCGTCCCATTCCTGATTCATGTTATACTTGTTCTTGTGCTTGTTCAGAGGTCTGGGTTATTTTCACCTGAATTTCTCCTGAGCCTGAGCCACAAACAATTTCAAGCAATAAAAGAAAGGTGGCTTTTGTCCTTCACACAGCAAATAACTGTACTTTTTCTTTAATGTCGCTTTAGCAATTCTTTCCTGACTCGAGAGTCAGCCTTCACCAAGTTTCACAATTAAAACTTCTAATTCACAGCGATGTGAACCACTTCAGTAAACAACAAATAAAGCATAACTTTACAGTTAGTAATTGTGACCCTTCAACACACAATCCACAAGCTGTAAACAGACTACAACTGATTTCCTTGGATAAAGAGGGGGAAAAGTTAGAATCTGAGGAGATGACATTGTTATATTTTCCCACAGGATTTAATTTTCCTATTGATGGGGGTTGATATAAATAGATTAATTGTTCATCTTGTTTGATAAAATGCAATTGGAATGCTTTATTCTCTTTTGTGTTGCAGATACTTGAAATAGTGTTTCAAATTATTTGCATAATGGTTAAATCAACTTAATTTATAATTGTATTCATTTTCTTATACAGCCTTGACCTTAAGAATTGTCACTCATTTTAATTTTCAGTTGCTGATGAAAGGTTATAATAATTGAGTTATTACTACTAGCGTGTTCAAATGACAGAATTTTTTACTTAAATTTTCCTTTTTGTATGACAGACATGAATTTTACTGAAAAGAAAGATAAAATTTAAAAGGTAATGCCTAAAGTCCCCTAATTTAGATGTAGTAGAGCTAATACAAAATTAGTATAGTTACAGTATTATGTACTATAGCTTATACAGGATCAGTAATAGTTAAAATATTATATGACTACTACTAATTTCAGACAACAGTCAAATAACCAAAGTCATAGAAGAAACTTAAAGTAAATTTAACAAGGAAAATTTGGCCAAGGAGAATAAGAAACCACTAAAAGAAGTATTGCAACAAAAAGAATATTGGATTTTTTTTTTCCCTGTTATTTTAAGGACTGTGTAGAACTTCAAGACAGTGAATTGCTGAAGGTCAGGATGAAGCACAGGAGGGAAATTAAAAGGGACCATGTTGAATGAGGAAGCATTAAAATACAGGGATGTGAGCCCTGACCGGTGGGGCTCCGCGGGTTGTAGCATCGCCCATGGACCGAAGTGTCGCGAGTCTGATTCCCGGTCAGGGCACATACAAGAAGTACAAGAAGACAACCAATCGATGTCCCTGTCATCCCCCCCCCCCCATTCTTTTCCTCCCTTCATCCCCCTCTTCCTTTCTCTCTAAAGCAATGGGAAGGGTCCTTGGGTGAGAATAACTTTTTTTTTTAATATAGCAATCTGAAAGAAACATTTAGCTGATACCAGAACATCGATTGCTTCATGGCAGAGGGAGTTCAGCCCAGTGGCTCTTTCGGAGCGAGTCTGAGCTGGAATTGCTGTACTGGAAGCTGAGTTACAGTAGTCTTGAATAGTTCTAAAGAAATCATTGTCAACAGTTAACATCCTTGTTAACATAATCATCACTGCCATCATTTTCATGGTCAAAATCATTAAAAATTAAGTGTTTACTTTATCCCAGACACTGTGCTGAAAACTTTCCACAGATTATCTCATTTTTCTTATACTGTGGGGGAGATACTTTTGTTGGTTTTATTTACAGGAGAGAAAACAGAGGCTTAAAAAGTTGTAATTAACTTGTCCTAAGTCACAGAGGCAGAGATTGGACTCAAACTTGGATTTTCTGTCCCACAAACCTATGTTCTTAAATACCAATAAAGAAAAAAATTAACTGGGAAGAATATGAAGCTGGAACTACTCATTTTAAGATCTCTGGTTTGGAGTTTGCCATTGAGCAATGTAAAATTTGATGTTATGGCAAAATAATTTTTTATCAGTGAATAGTTCAAGGATATGTTACTTACAGTTTTCTACTTGACTCTTCAGTAGAGGTTGAACTGCTAGAATAAAATAGTCAACCATTATTTCATGGGACTTCAGAGGGCTGAAGTTTTAAAGGAACATACTTACAATAGGGCCAAGTTCTTTCAGTATAAAGCAGTACTTTATACTGACTTAAAAAGTCTTGCGTGTCTCTTTTTCCTCTCTCCTTAGGAAAAGTTGGACGCAGGGGTGAGAAAAGAAGTTGACGGCATGGGGACCTCTGAGATAAAGTACGGAGACTCGGTCTGCTACATACAGCACGTGAACACGGGTCTGTGGCTGACCTACCAGGCCGTGGACGTGAAGTCTGTGCGAATGGGGGCGACGCAGCGTAAGGTGAGATGGCAGAGGAGTGCCCTGTGCGGCAGGAGCCTCGCAGGCCTGCAGAACCCAAACACAGGGCAGAGGCAGGTAGCCAGCTGGGCTCCTTACTGACACGCCAACCGTCAGGTCCACCACGATAAGCGCTGGTTGTGTGAGGCGAGCGTGGCTGGACGTCACGTCTCTGACTTAGACGTGAAGTGCAGAAATACACTTCTTTCTGGATTCCTGCTTAGTCTCCCTCCTCCACTGCGTCCTCCGTGCTGCGGCCGGACTGTGTTGCTAGAATGTACATCTCACATGCCTTCTCACTTCCAAGTCCTGTGCTGACTTTTCTTTGCGTACAGGGCCACACTATATTTCTTGGAGATAGAAATTAATAGTTTTATTAAATAAATTTTATTTGAGCCTAGCTTTGCAAATAACTGTTATACTTCAGATTTAAATCAATGATTAATCATTTTTGATGTTTATAAATAGACAACTTATACCACACTTTCCATATTCTTTTTTTCCTTTTTTACTAAATTTATTGGGGTGACATGGGTTAGTAAGATCATATAGGTTTCAGGTATACAATTCTATGATACATGTCCTATATATTGCATGGTGTGTTCACCACCCAAAGTCAGATCTCCTTCTGTCACCATACATTTGACATCCTTTACCCTTCACAACCCCCTCACCACCCTTCTCTCTGGTAACCACCATACTGTTGTCTGTGTCTGAGTTTTTGTTTGTCTTGTTTGTTCATTTGTTGTTTTTAGTTTTATAACTCACATATGATTGAAATCATATGGTTCTTGACTTTTTCTGTCTTTTTTTGCTTAGCATGATATTCTCAAGACCCATCCATGTTGTCACAAGTGGCAGTATTTCATCTTTTCTTATGGCTGAGTAGTATTCCAGAGTATTTATGCACCACCTCTTCTTTATCCAGTCCTCTATCGAAGGACACTTCAGTTGCCTCCATGTCTTGGCCACCGTGAATAATGCTGCAGTGAACACAGTGGTGCATACGTCTTTACAGATAAATGTTTTCTGTAAGGCCATGTTTTTGGTTGTGATGTGACAGTTCCAGTCTGCCTCTCGCCTCCTCCCTGCCCTGTTCTTTGCCCTTTGGCTAATTCTTAGGTGTCTTCCGGTTTCTCTAGCATGACTCAGCACATCCCTTGCAGTCTCTCAAAAACAAACAAACAAAACATAACTTTTATACATCTGTGCCTGTGCATACACTGTTTTCTCTGTTTCAAATACCATTTAAACTTTATTTTCTCCACCCACTTCCTATCTATCCTCCAGAGATGAAGTTAAAAATTGATCCTAGAAGTTCTCCCTGACTCTCAGCTCATCCCCTATACCTACCTTCCTTTGTGGTCTCATAATATTTGTATATACCTCGTTAAATTTTATATACAGTCTCTGTGCTGTTTTATTTATTAGACTACATGTCTGTGTCTCCTAGTTTGTGAGTTCCCTTGGGGGAAGTACATAGTACTAAACTGTTCACATTTCATATTTTTACACCATCATGTAACACAGTGCACAGAACCAAATAACAAGACAAATGTTATTTCTACACCTGTGAGACCTTGGAAAGGAATTCTGCAATGGGACCAAAACTTATTTTTAATAGACTTATTACTCATAACATACACAGATTCCAGCGTAGGCCGTTCAGGGTTAGCTATCTGTTTGGAGCGACCAGTGCCGATTTTAACGGAGCTCGAGGCTGCTTCTGCTCTGATAGGGTTGGGCATAAATGCATCCCTCAGCATCCTCAGAGTGTTGGATCAGATCCTGGGACACCTCTCCCACAGACCCCATCCCACTGGGTTATTACCATTACTTGTGGTCAAATTTTACAGGTAAAATTTACATGTACTGAAATGCAAAAAAAATTAACTGTGCAGTTTGACAAGTGGACACATTTGTGTGACCCGTACACATCATAGCATGGAACATTTCCTTATTGCCCAGAAAATTGCCCAGCATGCCTTCCCGGGTTATCTCTGCCCTCTCTTCCACAGGGCCACCTGTTTTCTTGACGTTTCCCACCATAGGTTAGTTTCCCCTGATGGAGAACTTCATGCAAATGAAACCATGCACACACTCCCTTTGGTATGTCACTTCTTTCACTCGGCAAAATGTCTCTGACTATTGTCCTATTGTTCCGTGTTGGGATCTGAAGAGCTGAAGCTGTTTTTTAAGGTCTTCAGGAACCAGAGAGCTGAGAGTTAAGGGAAGTTCAGTTAGTTCACTGTCGAGGAGGAGGGACAAAAAGGAAAAGGCACGACAAAGGTATATAATCGTGACTTACTTATAATCTGCCTCTCTTGCTAGACTGTGGGCACATGAATCTCAGCTTTTATTTCTGTGTCCTCAACATCTAGCACAGCCTCTGGACGAGAGTGGATGAGCAGTCAGTATTTCTTGAATGAAAACATGTATTTTCAAGAGTGTAGCAACAGTTGAGTGGATGAGGCCCCACCTGCACCTGTTTGCTTGGTCTCCAGTTGTGTGGGCATTGCAGAGTTTGGGACCACACATGTGGCATTAGCATCTGGAAGGTGAATAGCTAGGGTCCAAATTGTGGCAAGAGAATCTGATTGGGCTTCCAAGCAAATTTTCATTTTGATATGGTATTTGGCCATGGATCTTCTATCAGATTTAGCCGATGTTTATCTTTTTTCTAAATACTTTATTTTGAAAGATTTCAAACATGCAAAAAATTGGAAGACTAATCAGTAGACATCCATGTATCCTTGAATTAGATTCAACAATGAATAGTTGCAGTAGTTACTTTCTTTCCTTGCACCTGTCTCTCCTTCGTTTTCTCTCTCTCTCTCTGTATGTGTATGTGTATGTTGTATGTATATGTATGCACACATCTACACACACCCCTACAATACCACTCGTATACTTAATAATGATAATTCTATTACATCACCTAATGTCCTGTTCATGTTCGTATTTCTGTTGTTCCAAGAATGTCTTTTTTAGCTTATTTTAAATCAAGATCCAATCAAGGTTTATACATGTATTTATTTTTATGCCTCCTCAGTCTCTTTTAATCTAGAATAGTTCCTCCCTTCGTTTGTCCCATGCCACTGAGTCCAGGCCAGTGACAGACTGCTCCATGTTCCAGGTGTGTTTGCCCATTTTGTCCCCATTGCCTAGGGTCCTTACGATTCCCATAAACTTGGAATTAGGTCCAGGGCTGTGCTGTGTAAATCAGTTGCTGTTATCCACATGTGGCTATTTTGTGCTTGAATGTGGCTAACACTACAGGTACTGAATTTTTAGTTTTGTTTAATTTTAATTAATTTAAATTTGAAAATTTATACTTGAGTAAGTTATTAGAAAACTTTTATGCACATTTGGAACAACTTAGGCATGTGAAGATGCTTTTCCAACTATGTAAATGACATGAATTCTGAAACAAGTGTTTTCAATGATAGATCGGTATCCAAAACAAGATAAAATGTAAGTATAAAATACACTCTTAATGTTGAAGACAAAGAATGAAAAAAAAGAGAATTTAAAGCATCCCATTAACAAGTCTGTATATTTATTATATGTTGAAATAATAATATTTTAGATATATTAGGTCAAATCAAGTATATTATTTAAAATAATTTTACCTTTTTTAAAAAGGTAAAGCTTTAAAAATTTTCCAGAGCTCTGTGGGCTCTGGAAAATTCAAAGCTACGTATTTTGGAAATGTCTTCTGCCCCCACATCTCCCCCAGGTCACTGCCCCTCAAGGACAAATGCTGTTGTCACTGGTGGGGCTGGAGCTGAGTTCTGTTGCTGGGCTTTTTATTTTACTGTATTGACAGTGATTTTATTGGATTTTCCGTACTGCATTCCACGCTGTTAAACATTAATATTTACCAGAAAGGTAAGTGTTCAAAATAGAGTTCACAAATCATAAAGAACTGAAAGAGTAAACAAAGGAAAAGGTTTTTTCTCAGATATCACTTTATTAAGCACTCTTGTCTAATATCACATTTCCCTTACAGCTTTTATTAAAGGTTTGAAATATGATATATGGTTATGGGAGAAATACAGATATAAGTGGTAACATGTAGGCACATTTTTTAAAAGCTAGAAATGAATTTCAGTCAGAATAATCACTAGATACTCTTCAGGGATTATTTCCCCATTCAACAATACTTAAATGCAAAAAAAAAAAAAAAAAAGACTTAATCATCTTTTACCTTTTTTCTGCTCATGTACCCCTTTAATGAATTTTTAAAATCACATACCCTATAATATACTTTTAATTATACGTTTAAATAGTTGCAAATAAAATGTTTTTTTTTTTTTTACTGTAAATACGAACATTTTAAACCAAACTCTAATATGTCTTTTAAATATGTTGCATGGAAACTAAGTACCAGGCTCCCACGATTCCCTCATTTCATTCTGCTGAATCGCATGAAGCCCCGAGCCTGGGCAGTCCCACCTTCCCAGTGAACCTCGCGTCAGTTCCCTGTGCCCGCCGGTCCCCGCCTGGGTCAGCCGCCAGTACTCCCGGGGCAGGGCTCACACAGCCTCTTCTTCTCCGGTCCCTCTACCTCGGTCTCCCTTGTCCCAGCCACGGGGACCCTGTGTGGCTGAGTGTCACGTCCTGTGGTCCCCAGTCTCCTGACCCCCACAGACCAGATTCCTCTCCTCATCTCACTCTTCAGTCCGTGGCAGCAACGCCAGGTTCTTACTGTTTCTCACTGTTTCTCCCTTAACCGTGGGTCAAAGCCACCACGGGACCTGCCTTCTCCATTGTGGGCCGACAGAGAGCTTGCCTTTTAGAAAAATTTCACATGGGTGCTGAGAGGCTGAGCAGTCTTGTTTAAGTTGGTGAAGGAACATGGGAAACAGACTTTCTAGGCTGTAGAAGAGAGAATCTAGTTAAAGCCTTTCCTGTAAATTGATCTGTATTCAGCTACTTCTAGAGCTGTCTACGTACTCAGTCTTTGTGGGGGGACCTCAGTGCAGTCCTGAGGTACCGGAACTTCCCAGTCTAGATCCCTAATTAGCCAGCTCTCCCAGTTAGCTAAGGTCTTCAAATAATTGAATTTCCAAGGAAAGCCTGTTGCCCTGGCCTGTGTGGCTCCCTTGGTTGGAGCATCGTCCTGTAGATTGAAAGTTCACAGGTTCAATTCCCTGTCAGGGCACACACCTAGGTTGAGGGTTTGATCCTAGGTCAGAGTGTGTTCAAGAAGGCAACCGATTTGTTTTTCTCTCACTTCGATGTCTTTCTCTCTCTCTCTCTTTCAACAATGAGAAAATGTCCTCGGTTTAGGATAATAAATAAAAAGAAAAGCATGTTGGTGCTATCTCTGCCAACCTTTACATGTTTGAAACTATTTTTCTGTTGTCGTTTCATATGAATAAAAACTTGGTTAGTTAAAAAAATACCTGAATCACTATCCATAGCTCTTATATGTCCCACTTAATGTGAATATTCATATTTTGCTCAAGAAATATAAATTTATTGTTTGCAGAGTGATGCATAGAACATACTGGGGGGTTTAGAATATGTAACTTTTATACTGTGATACATTTTAAATGCATGTGTCACCCTAGGTTTTTAATCAGTACACTTAGGTCTTTTGAAAACTGAGAGGAGAATTGTTCAAATACATCTTTGGTCTGTTTTTTTTCCCTTCCGCTAGTTTCTCCCTCAGAACATGGTGGGTGCCCCTTCCCCACGCTGGTCTTCTTCCCTTTCAGAATTCTCATCTTTCTTTCCTTGTCTCTGCGTTTTGCTTCCCAAGTGTGTGCCAAATTACTCATTTTGTTTCTGTTGGTACTGTTCTGTGCTTTTAGTTTGTGTAGTACCTTTGAAATCTGGGCTTTTTTGTAGTGTTCCATGATCTCCCCAGCTTACTTTTTATCTCAGCTTGCTGTCTTTTCATTGATTCTGGTTGTTCATATCAGCGTGTTTCCTCGTGGATTTTCACCTGTTTCATAGAAGTCAAACCTTGTGTCCTATGGACAACTGAGGAAGCTTATATATTTTAGTAGTTTCTTGCTATGCCTACTTTATGTAGATTTTTTTAAAAATTAGGAATTAGTGCTTTATTTTATCAATTAAAGGGAGATTAAAATGTTTTGGTGTCCTTTAATTTGTTGATAAATAAGTTAATAGACATCATGATATTCAAGAATCCTTAAATTCATGGACTAAACCCTATCTGGCCATAGTTTATTATTCTTTTGAAATATTACTAGATTCTATTCATATTTTATTTAGAATGATTACATATATTTACAGGTGAAATTAATCTTTGTTTATTGATACTGAAATTTGAATTTCATACAATTTTCATGTGTCATGACATTTTCTTGGTTTTCCAACCATTTAAATGTAAAAACCATTTTTAGCTTACAGCCTTTACAAAAACAGGCAATACGTTACAGTTTGCTGACTTCCGGTTAAGAAACCCATTCAAAATCTCTGCTCTTTCAAGGTTTATTGGAACTCACTTGTGAAACCATCTAGTCCTAGGGTCCTTGAAACAGTAGATCTTCAATTTCCTTTGCAATCTCTTTCAAATAAACTGGTCTCATCAGATGTTCTACTTAGGTGGGAGGACTCCTTTCAATGAGTCTTGATTTGCTAGGAAACCATCTCATTTCTGTGGGACACTCAGTTACATGTATTTTTATTCTTTATTGTATTTTGTCCCCATGGAAGTCCACACAGTGTTTATTATAATTTTATAAAAGTAGTGTCTTTTGTATTTTATATCTTATTCTCTGTTTTTGCTTTTGTTCTCTTTCATTTTTAGCCTGATTTGTGAGAGGTTGCTCTCTTCCTAAGGAATCAAATTTTGGGCTTTAAAAATCCTTTCTAACATTTTATTTGATTTATAGTTTATTAAATCCTATTTTTATCTTCATTAATTTCCTTTTCAACTTTTTCTTTTTTAGTCTTAAAATCAAGAATATGTTTTTTTTCATTTTAGTCATTTTTTTTCCCCTTTGCCACTGAGGCATTTAAGGCTCCATAATTGCCTTTGAATACAGTTCTCTCTGTCTCTCGCTGCTCAGGTATGAGACGTCCCATGTTGTATTGCCTTCTAGCTAGTCTGTAATTTTAGTCCTTCCTAATTTTAATTCAGCACACCTGGTCAGACGTCTCAGCTCTCTTGCTGTGAGTGTTGAGTGAAGGAAGCTGGGCACAAACGGAGCCTAGTGTATGGTGCATGCTGACGGTTGCTTCTAAAGGTCAGAAAGTGGGGGCCATTGCGAGGAGAGGGGTAGGAAGCCGGGAGCTCTAGGGAGAGTGGAACGTGCTGCAGCATTCTCTTCCTTGCTCTGAGTGTTGTGTCCACAGTGTTCACTTTGTGACAGTCATTCAGCTCTTCACTGGAGATTTTTGCACATTATCTCTCCTCATGTTATATTTTCCTAAGTTTAAAAACAAAATACTTAACAGAGAACTAATAAAATAAAAATGCATTTTTAAAAGAACTTAGTTGCCTTGGAAACATTGCTGAACACTTACTAATTAGCTAGTCTGTGTTCAAAACTATTGTGTATGTGGTATCCCTGAATGATTTCCTTCATAGCTTCGATCAGAGTTCATTAGATGTGGGTCAGTTACTGAACATGAAATTTGAAAACACTGGTGTTTGTTTTAATCAGCTCAGTATAATAACTGATCCATTCTTTAAAACAGTAACCGAATGAACATATTGAATGGCTAGGTTGTCGAGGGACCTGCGCGAATCGTTTAACCTTATACACAACAGTTTTCCAGTGCCCTTCCCCTGTCTTGCTTCTGTTTGTTGCTGTCACCTTGGAAGTGCGCATCTCCTTCCGCTGTTTGGAGAGGAGATGCTGGGTGTGACGGGGCCACCCCTGCTTCCTCGCAGGCCATCATGCACCACGAGGGCCACATGGATGACGGCATCAGCCTGTCCCGGTCGCAGCACGAGGAGTCGCGGACAGCACGGGTCATCCGCAGCTCGGGCTTCCTCTTCAGCAGGTTTATAAGGTGCGTTTTCCTTTGTTCTGGCGGCTGTTTGACATTCTACCTCAGTTTTATTATTGGATTTACAAATAAAGAATTTTAAAATATACTCTTGTGATTAAGTCTCACACAGTTTGCAAGTTCAGCAGAACACATTAGAAAGTGCCAGTTAGGTGACTTTATGCCTCCTTTGAAATGAACTTCTAAAAAGAAATGAGCTTTTAGAAATTGCTACTGCCACTTGTTGTCAGGAGCTAAAGGTCAGGAGCATTCTGTGACACACCCTTATGCTGGGCCTATTTACTTGCCTTGTGCCCTAAGGGTAATACTTTGTGATTTTTGAACTGTATTGAAACACTCAGTGAATCTTGTAATGACTAAGTTTACCCCCCTAATAATGGAAAAATTGCATATCTACAAACCAGCTCACGCATGTGGACAAAGTGTTTCTGGTAATGTTATACCAATATAAACTGTGGCCTGTGCTGAATATCATGTATCTCTTTAAACTTCATCAGTTTGATGGAAAATTTTGTGTGTGTGTGTGTGTGTGTACACAGATATATTTATACTTAGAGCTGTTGTTTAAGTTTGCATTTATGTGAGAATTGCGAAAATGGGTATATTCCATATTTGCTGACTAAATTTTTTCATTTTTCTTGTGATTTACCCTATTATTTGTTAATACTTTATTAGGTTACTGTGAGCTTGTGTTGTTAGACTTAAATATTCTGTCATCATATATAAATTGCAAATATTTTCCTAATCTATTGGTTTGGAAAAGAATTTTAAATTGCTTATTTTAATAACAGTTTCCTCAATAACCCACGTTTTGTTTAGAGGTTCTAGAACATAGCATGATTAATAATTTTGGAGGCTTAGATAGCATTTGTCTGGTAAGAGGCTTCTCCAAGAAAGTAACAGAGTGGGTATGTCTCTAATAGCAGGGAGGCTCTAGATAATGACTTAGAAACTGGCATTTACTGTTGTTTCTCTTTAGGTCTGCAAGTGTAGATGTTATATTTGAATCCCTTGTGAGTTCGTTCAGTTCATTATGATGAGACTTGAGTTTGGCTATGTTATACATAAATATATTTATGATTCAAATATAGTTATGAGTTAATAGAATAAAATGTTTAGAACAGAATTATTTTCGTTGTGTATGAATTTTCATTTTAAAAGGAGAGATATAATTTCTTCTGCAAAGTCATTTCCATTGCTTTTGGGGCATAGAAAACTCATAGGGACATGATAACAGTATGGAATAATAGGCGAATGTCATTTATGTAAATGCTTTGGAATTTTAGAATAATCATGCATTTACTATTTGTATTATTTATGAGGCTGAAGTCAAATATTCCAAAATTATTAGTAACTTTGTGTAAACAGTGATACATTTTAAATAATGATTTTTAGCATTGTAGAGTTTGAAGATGAGTGAATTCTCATTTATAAGGCTTTTATTGTTTTCTAAAATGTGATTTCCATTCTAGTCAGATAATCAGCCAGAGACATTTCCTTGGAATAAAGTATTGCCATACATTTTTGCTGATACAGAGAGCAGGAATGGAAGTATATTTTTATGTGTTACCTTTTGTCATAACTAATATAAGTATTACTATATCAAGTATAATATAAACATTCTCTCATTCTTTTTGGTGTCGATTATTTTTCAATAGACTTTTTATTTTGTAGTAATTTTTATTTATAAATGATTGAAGTTCTTTACAGAAACATTCAAAGCTTTGAATTTTAAAATTTAGAATCTTATAAAGCTCAACAAATTAACACATTTACTTACATGCCACTAATGTTTTTCTTCAAAGGTTAGAAAATGCAACATGATATAATTTCTTTTTTGTGTGTGTTTTAAGTCTGGTTAAAGTCTTTTAAAGTTATTAACATAAAATACATGCTTGTTTTGCCTGTGTTTATAAAAATAAGTTCATGTTATTTATCTGTTACAATTCTTTCAGGTAAAAGAATAGCATTTACTATATTGTTTCCTGATTAATAAGTGAATTTTGTGAGTGAACATCATTAAAATGTTTTTAAACAGGCAGAAATTAAAAAGAAAGGCAGTGAATATTAACGGAACAGTTAACAGTTCCTTGTCCCCAAACAAAACAAAACAGAAGAAAATGTCAGAAGTATCAATCTGGGAAGTTGCATCTTCAACCGTAAAGAACGCAGTGTTTTATAAGGAAAATTGGATGGTTTCTCAATATTTAGACCCTTGGATTTGCAGGCAGTGGTTGTCCGAGCCCTTCAGGTTTTTCTCTAGACAGATTCCTCTTGATTCTGGCGTTTTTACTATAACAGTGTGTATGCATAAAAGAATACATGGTTTCTCATTTGAAAAAATTGTCGCTTGAGGGGATCCAGAACTGCTCTTGTGTGTCCCTTCCACAGTGGTGTCGGGAGGGAGCAAAGCTTTAAGCCGTCTGTCACCTACAGTGGTGCGTGAGCTTGCGGGTCTCTGCCTAGAGAGACGGATGCTGTTGCTTTCAGGGGCCTGGACGCTCTCAGCAGGAAGGCGAGGGCTGCCCCCGGGGACTTGCCCATCGAGTCTGTCAGCCTAAGCCTGCGGGACCTGATCGGCTACCTGCACCCACCTGACGAGCACCTGGACCACGAGGACAAGCAGAACAGACTGAGGGCCTTGAAGAACCGGCAGAACCTCTTCCAGGAGGAGGTGAGCTTCTACAGCGCCTCACGGCTCTGTGGCCTCCTGGGAGAGCAGGCCTGGGTCCCAGGTCTGGAGAGCCTACAGCTCTGCCGTGCCCGTCAGCAGGTAGCGAGCATGCCAGGCCCCCCAGGGGACACGGTCTTCCACAGTCCCCTCGGCCCTCCTTTCACACCGAGTGTGCACGTGCCCACTGTTCTTGCTTCCCAGTCGTCGCATGCAGCGGGCTCTTGCGCGGGTAAGCGCCTGCAGGTCTGGAAGGCGCGAGGGTTCTAACTGTGCAGCAGCTCCTTTGGGTTCCTCGGAGTTGCTGTGGGAGCACCGGGAGCTAGTGTTGGGGACGGAAGCCGTGGGAGAGGGGTTGCCCAGGGGCAGAGCCCCAGCCTGGACACAGTGGCCCCACTCCTTCCTTTTGCTTAGGTTAAGTTTCTGTGCCTGGTTTAATGTCACGAAACATCTGCTGCCCCAAAGGGCTCAAGTGCTGTCCATTACGGCAGGATAACAGAAGGGCTGCTTGGTATAGGCCTGAGGGCAGCGTCACCCTTCAGATGGTCTGCTCCAGCGTTTGAGTGGGAGGTCATCTGAGCTGAGGGGAAGTCGCCAGCTGGGCCAGCCACCCCTTCATTCTACTGCCCCTGCACGTGGACCAGTGAATTTCTCTGAGTAGAAATCTAAGAAAGGGTAGAGGGCATTGCTGAGTTCCTGTGATCCCTAAGTCTATGTTCTTCTAGTTTTAAAGCTGTTTGTAAGTTTCCATGAGAAGTCTCTGAAACTGACATTAATTTTTAAGGCCTTTTTAGTGTGTACAAAGAATTGGCCCATGCAGAGACCACGGTGACCTGAAAGCACAGGAAACGTCAACGTGAACCGAAACCAACAGCAGGCAGCGGTTTACTGGGATCTTTTCCCTCTGAGTACGCCAAATACTTAGGGTGTACTGCATCTACTTGACGTCTAGCAAATCGAAACGAAGTCTTGGGGTGTGAACATTTGAGTGATTGATTTGTATTAATTTTTCTTTTTTTAAAAAAAATTCTCACATAAGACAATCTGGATGGGGACTAGAAACATTCTTAGGTCCATGGTGTCTCTTAAATTCTTGGTGTGAAATAAATTAATTTGATTAGTCATTTTTTTATAGCTCTCCCTTTCATATGCTTTGCCTCATTTTCACAATATTCATCTAGCAATAAAAACATAATTTCAAATTTAGACAGATCTTAGTGAAATTTTTATTTGATTTGAAGATAGATTTTCATGAGCTTTCCTTTAACTATAAGGTCTTCAATTTTATATCAAATTGGTGATGATGATGCCGATGCCACTCCTGAGAGTAAGGATCTGCTCACAGAGGAGAGGGAGAAAAATATTTTCCTCTGCTAGTCATGAGTTCAGTGGCTCGGGTCCTGCAGATTGATGCACTGAGGACAGATTTACTAGAGAACAGATGGAAGTTTATTAGCATAGGACAGACACACACACAGCCACCCCCTCCCCTGCAGGCCCCAGTGATGACTAATGCAAAGGGGTGATTAGAACTTGGGCTCACATAGAAAAGTGAGCCAATAGAGAAGACACACAAATACAAAGGAAAGGGAATTGAGCTTCTAGGGGCAGCACATTGTGGGAAGGTAACTATCTGGGGGAAACTATTGGAGGGTAAGAGCAGTGAGTAAAGGCTGTTCGATGACTGTGCAGTGTCAGGGCTGAGGTGTCGACCTTGTCTCTCAGATGAAGCGCTGGCCTGCCCGTCCTGGTACAAGGACAAGGAAGTGCAGGGGATTTTTCTTGTATCTGCCTTTTTTTTACTTAGTTGCCTTTGGCTCCAGTTAATGCTATGCCAAAGTGCTGGATTTGGGTGGCATACTGAGAACCCCTTTACTCACAGTGGAATGCTGTTATGACTGAGTCACTAGTCTCTTATTAAATTTTGCAAATATGAGTATGAAATCGGTATTTTTACATTGTTTTCTGCTTCTGTTTGAGAGTAGCAGTCAGAACTTAGAAACCATTTACTTCAGTTACTGTGGGACCATTTTGTTTCACATGCAGGTGTGCTACTTCTTGTTTTCCAATAACCATCTCATTTTCTTAATGATTGAGAGTCGTACCTTCAGCCAGCCCTTTTGTTTGTGTGTGCAGACCCACTGTCTCTGACGATGCTGCATTCTGGCCCGCAGGGGGTGATCAGCCTCGTGCTGCAGTGCGTGGACAGGCTGCACGTCTACAGCAGCGCGGCCCACTTTGCCGACGTCGCTGGGAGAGAAGCCGGCGCATCCTGGAAGTCAATCCTTAATTCTCTGTATGAATTGCTGGGTAAGGAGGGTGACTGGGTTTCAAGGCAACTGCTTTGTTGATTTCAGCTGATCACAGAACCTTCCAGCGTTTTTGTGACTTGCTTTCCATTGAGACTGTCAGTTGGTACCTCAGCTGCACCGAGTCCTGTGGTGTTTAGCGTTTCAGTCCATCTCAGGGTGCCATCGTGGCCAGAGCTGCAGCTTTGCCTGTGGCTAAAGGGCAGGGTGGAGTTTGTAGGGGCCAGGAGGGTGGGAGAGAAGCATTAAATGTTCTTTTGAATCTGAAGTGAGCCCCACAAAGCCCCTGGGACGCCCACATCCCACCTCTTCAGGGACCTCCCAGTTGGCCCCTCTGCCAGTCCGGGATGTGCCTTTGCAGTCCTAGGCGTGCTTGGCAGACACCCGGCGGCACTGGCCGTGGTGGGCGCTGCACTCCCGGTGGCTCTGCGCAGCCGCGGGTCTGCGTCCTGTTTGGTCTGGACGCTTGCTGTGGCCTCTGCCCTCTTGTGTCAGGAAGTGTGGTGGCTGCGAGATTGGACCCCTTGCAAGCCAGAGAATTAGCCAGGAGTTAGGATAAAGATGGACAGTTCCTTTCTCACAGCAATGGACATAGCCAGAGCTCTGTCAGTTTTGGTACCAATTCTACGAGCTGCTGTTCTCACAGGACAGTGTGAAAAGGACAGCCAACCGCTGCACGTGCTGTCACAACCCCAGATTCTTGTGAAAAACTATTTGCTTTAGGTAAAGAGGAGCCTCTTCCACGTGTGTTTGGGGGCAGAAAGGGGTTTGTGCAGAGAGAACACTGTCGTGGAAGATACGTGTATATAGTATGCATTTAATCTCTGTTTCACATCAGTTCTTCTCATAAATTGTTTTCTGGTTTGATTGTGGATGGAAACATGGCTAGAATGTGACTCCTAAGTGACTTACCTGTTCAAACGGCTGTGGCTGTAGGTGCACTGATGGATACCTGCTCTCAGTCCTCTCTGCCCGGTGTCAGCCCACGCTCAGCTCTGTGTCGGTCGCACTCGCCCCTCTCTCGGGCTGTCTCGACCTGCACTCGGCCTGTTCCGGCCACACTCGGCCCTCACTCGGCCACACTCGGCCTGTTCCGGCCACACTCGGCCCTCACTCGGCCCTCAGCCCGGGCTCGGCCCGTCAGCCGGCTCCCGCGCTTGGCCACTCTCGGCTGCCGCTCCTCCAGCTCTCGGCCTGCTTCCTGCTTCCGGCAGCAGAGGGGCCTGTGGCTTGCACGTTGGCGCTGACGGGGAGTGGGACGCAGTGTCCGTCGCAGCTCCCAGACCCGGCTCCGTCTGCTCTGGCCTCTGAGGGGTCCGCGGCCCAGCGCCGGCATCCCTGGATGGACTGAGCGGCTGCCGTCAGCTCCCCATGCTGGCGGTGTCCTCGGCCGTGGAGGGGTGACAGGGCTGCTTCTGGGAAGTCTCTCTTAGGAGGGGCCGTGCTGTTGCCCCCTCTCTCTCCGGGACTGTGTCGGGGTCCTTCCTGAGCCGCTCCTGCTGGCAGGAGGCTGGCGGCTTCTCAGACCGGCGTCGCCGGCTCTGACCCGCTGCGGAAACGGGGTGCGAGTCTCAGAGAAGGCAGCCCAGGCCGAGGGGCCCACTTCCCACGCGGAAGAGATTCCCAGCGAGGTTAGACTTCCGTAGCAGAGGGGGCGCGGCCACGCGGTCACGTCCCCTCACAGCGGGGACCTGCCACTCTGCCATTCTGTCTTTTCTTTGAAAACATGTTTCATCTTTGATTCTCAGGCAACAGCCTCTGACAAAACGATCCTTCTCCTTGCTAGTCAGGGTTTCACTTTGACAGGAGGTTAAATCGGTGTTCAGGGTCCTCATCTGCAAGTTGGAGGAAATACCAGTGCGATTCCAGGAGTTCGTGTAAGACCTAGAGTCCAACCGCCCGCGCGCAGCGAGTGACACCGGTTACTATCATAGGCACTCTCTGTAAAATGGGAATAGTGACCTTCCTCATAAGGTTGCTGGGCGGCCTCAGTGTGGTGATGTATGTCAGGTGCTTAGCGAAGCCTGTTTCTTACCATTATGCCCATTTTGGGGATATCTTTGTTACCTCCTACTCTTTAGCATAGTATACAACCTTCTTCTCCAGCTTCTATTTTTGCTGTTTTTGTCTTTTAAATATGTCTTAGGGAAGCAGCTCCTCTTGGAAAGGTTGGATGTAACCAGAAATGTTCTGCATGAGCAGGTAGAAGCCTAGTGTTGCGATTATGGCAGGTAATCGCTGGCTCGTGGCTCCTGCGGCAAATGGAGGAAATGCGGTTTACTTCATAGTCCCCCAGGCAGGAGTGTCCTATCCTCCCACCCATTCTCTGTACACCTGTGTCCTTCCCGTCCGGCGCCGCGCGGTAAACACTTGACCTGCAAACACTGGAGCTCTCATTGATCGCCAGGTGCTGTTGGGTTTCTGGCTGACCTGAGCTCCACTCCTCTCCACCAGCCTTCACTGCAGACTTTCAGGGGTCCTCCCTCACTTCCGCGCAGACTCTCGTTGACTCTGTTGCACGCCTACCTGGCACATGCCCTTTTTTCCTGGCCTTGGGACCCTGCGGCCCCTCGCCTGGTCTGGGTCTGCTGCTTCACCTGTGGCCTCACTTGCTCTGCCTCCCACCTTTCCATGGGCCCTTCTCGTCCTTTCCTCTGATCCAGGACTGTTCAGACTCCTCGAGCCCCTCGGGTCACTTCAATGTAGAGTGCACGTGTTTATATTAAAGTGTACGAATATACAAAGTATATATTTCTTAAATATACATATTTTCCCTTAATTATTTATATCCCTTTTGTTTGAGAAAGGATTCGAGGGCGCTGTTACCTAAAATTGACACAATTAGCCTTGGCCGGGTGACTGCGTTGATTGGAGTGTGGTCCCTTACAGCAAATGGTCCCGGGTCTGGTCCCGGGTCAGGACACGTGCAGGAGGTGACTGATGGATGTTTCTCTGTCTCTCTCCCCACTTACCCCCACTGCTCGCTCTCTAAAATCAATACACATATCTGCGGGTGAAGATTAGAAAAATTATAAAGCTGACATAATTAGAATCTTCTAATACATGTTTAAAGAAGGTAACAGTAAAATGACCAGGCTTGTCACTGAGAACACAGCGATTTCAGGCACACAACTGCTTTGCAGCTTTTAAACTGTTTTATGAAACGACATACTGCACAAACACACACACTCTCTCTTAATACTTATATTTTCCCATGGCTCCTCCCGAGAAGGTTTTTGTTAATCCCCCATATGTAAGTTATAATATCTCTCCAGGAAGCTTCCTTCTCCCTTTTGTCTGTTTTTCCCAAGTGTCTTGCCTCTTTGTTCCTCGCACAGCCTCCCGCGGTGCGTCCCGTGTCACAGACTGTGTATGTTGGGAGGACATGTATTTGGTGTCCAGTGCACCCAGGTGTGAAGGGAAACTTCATCCTCTCAGCACCAACCGGCTGAGAGCAGCTTGGGAGATGCCCCAATCTGTGCAGCAAGGGACACGTGGCTGTGACAGACGGCACAGTGACAAGAGCCAGCCACAGTGTCATGCACACACTTCACTGCCTCACCATTTTGATGCAAGTGATTCTTGAATTGCATTACTAAGTGATTAATAGCAGAAGATAAATTTGACTACAGGAAATGAACACTTACAATGCCATCGTTACAAAATAAAAAACAGATGGAAACCTGGTAAAATGGACAATCTATATGAAAGATAAAAGCCCAGTTTTTGTACAACAGAGTTTCCATAAATCCATAAGAAAAGGAAATACCATCTAATAGGAAAACAGGCAAAGCATGGAGATAAGCAGTTCAAAGAACAATAAACAAAATAAGAAAAGGTTCTCAATGTGGCAAAAATAAAGAAATGCAAATTAAACAAGAGTCCTATTTTACTTATTACATTAGCACAGATGAAACTGATAATATCCCATCACCGAGGAAATGCTGGGTGATACGCTCTCGGGAGGAGTGTGAATCGCTGTATTACAAAAACACACAACCCTCTGTCGGCAATACACATGAAACTTTAAATGTATATGTCCTTTTACTCTCAGAAATTCCACTTTAAGAAACATATTCTAGAGATGTATTGCACGGCTGACAAAGATATCTACTGTAAAATAGTTTATGAATAAAAAATTGAAAACTTTTTCTATCAGCAGGAGATTGGTTACATAAGTAATAGTACACCTATATGGTGTAATACTGTGTTATCACTGAAAATTGAGATGAATATATCATTTGGAAAGTTGTATGAAACAGGCTGGTTTGACGATTTTTTGGTATGACAATCTAGGATGTGGTGTTAAATGAAAAAGAAGCAAGTTTCTCACTGTATGCTCACTGTCCAGCCCTGAGGACAGTCCAACTGCATACCATTCCAGTATGTAGAGAAAGGTACATTCTTGAATATTCATTGGCAATTTCTAGGTGTCTGTTTCTTAAGAGACCAGTCTTTGGCTCTCTCTGTGTTAATTTATTTACATGTGTAACTTTTATAATTGAAAGAAGTAGTTATACATACGTAGTGATGGACCGTGATGATGAAAGGAAAGCTAATGCATTAATTCCAGTGCAGTGAAAAAAGAGACTATTTCTATTCAGTGCACGTGACACACAGGGCAGTTTTAATGGTGGTTGTTTCTGGTGAAGAGAATGGTGAGAGATTTTGTTGTTTAAATGCTCTTTTGAGTACTCTTGATTTTCTTTTCTATTTAGTGAACACTGATTTCATGATTAGAAAATGGTAAATGAATGACCTCTTTAGTTGACATAGGGACCATCTGATGTTATTGAAGTCAGTGTAATAGTAAGAAGGGCAGCTGTGTCTGGGAGTCTCAGATAAACATCAATATTTGGAGTTCAATTAGGCGTTTCTGTCACCCCGTCCTTCACCCATCCATCAAAAGCTCAGTTCAAATACCATTAACGCCAAATTTGGAAAGCCTCCTGCCAATTCTTCCAGCCAGGGAGACAACCTCTGGGGTGATGCGTGGACAAG